GAACGATATTCCAGATACGGTTTTGTGTAGTTGATTATGGTTTTTCATAATATAACACACCGTGTGAACGATATTCCAGATACGGTTTTATATAGTTGATTATGGTTTTTCATAATATAACACGCCGTGTGAACGATATTCCAGATTCGGTTTTGTATAGTTGATTATGGTTTTTCATAATGTCTTTACCTAAATTTTATACAGTGTCTAATGTAGATCAATATTTAAGCTTTTCAGTATAAGACATCGCTCTGATTTCCAGTGACTATTCCAGTAAGCACCTCTCAAATGGACAAGAACTTCGAAGTGTCCAGTAACTCTTCAGTGAACTATCGCCACAAGTCCATAGAACACGCTGCTGTCGTTGGATTTTTCTGAATTTTGAAAATGTTCTCAGCTATTAGAAAACACTACTTTGAATTTTTTTTTATTCGTTTTAAACTGGCACGTGTTGCTTACATTGTAAAACATCTTATTCGTATCACAGAAGAAATGTATCAAAGCAGACAACAATGAATGTCAGTTATCTAAACAGGGGTAATAAAGCAGCCGCTGCAAAGTTTACATACTCGTTATTCTTACGGCTTTCAGACCAAGAAATTTAAAGATATATAATTAGAGGATGCATATGATATGAAACATTTATCCAAAACAAATAAAATTCAAAACATTATTCCTAAAAAGAGATTTTATAGTTCCAATCAACACATAGTGACAAACATGTTTTACCGTATTGAATTTTAGTTTTTGACTCTAAATTCACACACCTAATTAACATTGTCATGGTATTATAGTATATGTCTTTCAAAATCCAAAGAATGGTGCACCGAAAACAGTTTTCGCTCGTTTTCATGATTTTATTTTTTGAAGGAAGGACTAAATTTGATGATTGATCAGAAGCAAAAATGTCATTTTATTGCAGTTGGAATTAATACATATTTTTAGATGTTAACCGAAAAATCCTTAATAAGGCTACAAAGTCGTAATATTTTTTCTTCAAGTTGTTATGAATACTATTTATTCGAGTGGCGCTATCTATGGGTAGGAGTCTATATTATATTTTCAACATTATAAATATTAGACGTTGTAAGGAAGCTTCATTTTATTTCTGTTACCTGGTGTGGACATAAACATAACAGATCAAAGTCACAGATTTTGTCAGTTGAAAATATTGATTAAATACTAGCAACACAAATATTATTAAACTCTATCAATATGTATTTGGGTCATAAAAACATTTGTTTGTGCAGCGTTAGTAAGTGATTAGATTAATAATTTAAAAAACTGCTACTATTGATAGGCATCTAAGATCCTGGGTTGCATAATACAACAATGATATTTTGCAATAAGAATGATAGAAAAGTTTTTATTTGAATGAATTATACGTTACCTCAACACAGCCTTTAATGCGCTTCTTACTATAATGAATGTAGCGTGTATGTCAGTATTTATGTATGTAACTAAAACTTCTGCGCCATTTATTGAATGGCACCACTTTGGATATTCAAGATTCAGGTAATTAAACAAAAATAGCTGTGGTATGTACAACAACCATTTCTTTATAATATAACACAATTTTAAATAAAAGTACTCTCCTTAGAACACGACTTTCACTAGGACTGTACGTGATGGTTTGGTTATATTTTTATTGAAGTAATTTTTAACGTAGTACTGAGAAAAACGGTACCACTTTTGATATATAAAAACATTACAGATTATATCAGTAATATTTATGAACATTTTGGGCTCTGTACATTGAATCATTTTGATGCAATGAGTTGCGTATGACTAAAGAGTACAATCCGAACACTTTTCCTGTTCAGTACTTCCAAAAAAATTCGATGTTTTTGATCACTTTATAGTCATACCGAAGTAACACAAATACTTGAGTAACTTACGAAGATCGAGTTAATACAAAATTCCCGCAAACGTGTATGCAACGAACTCTATATGAAGGACTTGTGATTCCTTCGGTCGCAAAACAATTCAACTCATAGCGTACGCTTGGATTCTCCAATATAAAAAGTCACTTATTTTGTGAAATATCACAGTGATTCTCCACTAGGAAAACGCACTTTGAAATTTTGCATTAAACTCACTTTACCACTGTTTCAGAAGTTTTATTTAAAAAATTAATTTCGTTGATAATAATAAATGTACAAAATTAATGTACGTTATTAAAAGGGAAAGAAGTACCCTTTCTCCATTAAGGAAAAAATGTTATAAGGTCTTATTATTTTTTTAAAATTTTAGCGAGAGTCTATTTTATAACATTTTTTACCATTTTGGTGCGATATGAAGCTGTTATTGACGTATTTCTTATAAAAAGTGGTCACATGCACTAAAGAAACTTTTTTTTTCATAAGAGATCCAATTGTAATGAAACTATGTTAGGAACTTCCACTTATGATGTTGAAAAATCGTGCGAAGTTTCATCCAAATCGGACATTAATCTTTTATATATAGATTCACGTAAACTGAAGTAAAGCCTTAAAAGGAAAATAGAATCTGTATGTAATATTGTACTGTGTACAGCAATATTTAAAACTAGGGGGCGTTTTCAAAGTTTTCTATGTATTTCTCATATCTTAACCAGATTTCCATGTAACGTTTATTTTGTAATTATTTGTATTCATCCTGATTAAACCTATGTATAATCAATCTATTCAAATTACCATGTCTCAAGGCATTTTGCATATCTGTATATATTTGTATTCAAATAAAGTGACCATTAATTTGAACTTGAGTTTTCAAGGAATTAATTTTTCACTTTGTATTTTTAATAAAAAGTACATTTTTCTACTGAAACTTACACATTGTTCTTCAAATCAGACATTTCTACACTTTCATGTTGTCAGAAGTTTCTATCCATTTAGTTCTAGTATTCTTACACAACGTTTAATGTATATAGTTCACATATCTTACTACTTTTCTGAATATCTAATTGGCCTAATTAGATCTGAGTGAAGAAATACATTCCAGAAATAATTTCGTACAAGTGTAACAGCATTATCTGTATTTCCTAAATACTTTTCTTGATTTTCTTATTATTTTCTGGTGTAAACAAGAAAGATGTAAACACATTAGGGTTAGATTAATACTTTTTGTTCACTTCTCTTGATCTCACCAATTTCTTGCTTCATTACTCTTCACTTTAGCTAATTAAAGGATATAATTTCTGATATTTTATACCTGAATATATATATATAAATGAAAACATTACAAAGATACTCAAAAGTCAAAATTAATTTTTCCATTATCAGCCCTTGTTGTCATCATTAAAATTCATAAGGGATAACGTCTGTGGCCATAGCACCAAAACACATTGGTGATATTCCATCTATCAGACAAGATCCAGACAACGATGTCAAACCAATCAGCAACTAAGGAAAAATCAGTTAGTGGTCAGGAGTTGAGTGCTTGAACCCATAACGTTTCAACTCTTACTGCAGTCAGTTGTGGGAAGGCTCTTAATATTTAGATAAAACCTTAAATTGGAAATAAACCACCCTAATTTTCTACAATGTAAAACTTCCAACCTCTAACCATTTATGAGATGTACAAAAAGGCAAAAATATAAGAAAATAAAGAAGATACACTGTACACGTATACATGTAATAATTGAAAAACTTGAAACCTAAAGTTTTAAAAACTTTGAAATAAGGTGGTTAGTTGTAGTTTCTAAATAAGGAATATCTTCAAAATAGAAAAATTATTTAAGAACATTTTATTCCACAAAAAATTGTGATTGTAATTTACAATACAATACAGATGACTGGTTTACACAGAAAAATATTCATCTCAAATCTACCAGAACTTGGATGAAACGTTAATTAAAGTATATTCAGTTTTTCTGTCACTCACTAAAACGTTTTACATACTAACATTTTTTTTTCAAAATCTTAAACAGTAACATATACTACAAGTTAAAGCACTGAATTCACCAATCACATAAATATCTACTGATATGTCTCAATATAATACTTGTTGCCCAGGTTAGTTATCCATTTAAATCTGGAACGGATTTAGATATAACATACAAATTTTGAAAACAAAGTGCAAAAAATAACCAAAACGCTTCGAATTTCTTTTGAACAAGTATAGTTCTTGAAATCAAATTTAAATTTTACAACTTACTACATTAGATCATAATAAAAAGACATTTACAAAATAATATTGTGTTGATTAGGTAAAAATACAATGTTTATTTAAAAAAATAATTTGTTTTACCTAAACATTAATTATCATTAACTCAGTATGTAATTCTATCATCATAGGTTTCTGGTGTCATTTGGCTTTGTACTGTCAGTTATAGTTTGTGTTTTAGTGGAATGCTCCTGAAAAAGCTGTAAAACGAAATATTGAGTGTCCAATTAAAGAAAAAATTTTGGTGTTTTAAAGTCATTAATTTATAATATCTAATGATTCTAACTGGAAAATGCTTGTGTATTAATATTTATCTTAACTATATGATTATTATCTCCAAATTAAGTAGACTTAGAACAAAATAACACATCAAGGTTGAAATAGTTAGTAGCAGTATCTTGAAATTAAAACTAGTGTATATTTTTATGTTACACTGACACATGAAGAGTAGCAACTAAATAAAAAGAAGTGTGTGGCCAGCCACATTACATCATGCTGACTGAAAACATTTTAAATTAATAACATGTGAAGTCAGTAACAAAACAATTTACTGAAATGATTATTTTTATTTTGTTAAGATACTGTGTATTATTCTAAGCTATAAAATATTAAACAAAAAAACATCTAAAAATACTTTATTAATAAGTAAGATAAAAGTAAAAATTTTGTTTTAAATTTTCATTAACATGCTTAAAATATTTATAAAACTGTTCTCATCTACTGAAGACAAAAAAAAAATGAAGTAAAAGCAACTCTTTTTAAATGAAGTAAAATATTCCTTGAATCTAACCCTGATGTAAAGTAGCAGTAACTACTGCTTGATACCTTCTTGTTGTAATTCACCACTAAGTTTGGTTAAATTTCACTAGGTTTCATTCAGCAAAACTATAAATATATGTTGGTTAAAACAAGTTCATCCTTAACTTATATGAACAGTGGATACTTGAAAAAAAAATCATACATATTAAAAACTAACACATCATTATTTGGTTACATGAAAAAATACTGATGTTTTTACACATGTAATAATTTATAGGGTAACTTTGTTCATGATCTTATGAATTTGTATATGAACATGTAAAAAATATAAAATACACAAAAAATTACATTAGAAAGGTTATAAAATAACTTAAATTGTAAAAGTCCAAAATGAAGAGTTGCACAAGTCAAAAATGTTGAGCTTTTCACAAGAGGCAAAAAAATTTAAAAGTCATCTTTTTCTCCAGTAATTAGCCAATGGAATAATGGGTATTTTTTAACAGGTTAAATATCTTTTTTTTCTAATTATTCTTTTCATATTTTCGAATAGGTACAGCATAGGTAAAAAATAATACTGTCTTCTATCAAAATTTGTAATGATCAACTCAAATGTCAATATACAAGTTTTCACGAAGGAAATAAGCCAATTAAACAGCATTCCCAATTTTCAATTTCTTTACAGTACTTAACATGACTTGGAATGAATGAAAGCTTTGAAAGACTATTTTTTTTATTTAAAGTATGATAAGCTGTACATTTCTCTAAAAGTACATAAAAATGCTACTAAAGTATTAAAATATTTTTGATACAAATGATATACAGTGTTCAGAAAACTCAGATAGCCATTATTACTGAAATAGCCACATGTTCTATCTTTTGAGTGTTTATATTACATTTATAATAAACTTCATATACTTGTGTTAATAAATACATTTATATCTTTTACTATGTGACATCACAATTCTCATGTGTTAATAAATATATTTACATCTTCTCTTACTACATGACATCACAATTCTTGGGTGTTAATAAATATATTCATATCTTTTCTTGCTATGTGATGTCACAATTCTTGGTAATTTGTTTTCAAGTTTAGATTTTAACTAAACAAAAAATGGGTTTTAGAAATAAGGTTCTCAGAATATAATGAAAGCCCCCTAGCAATATGAGTGATTAAAATTAGGTTAACTCAGTGCTACTCAGAGAAACAAAAAGCAATGACCAACTTATAATTCAACAGTAGCATGGTTTAGGCCGCTACTTCAAAATTTGACAGCAACAAATTTATATTTATTGAAGAATAACTTTTTTAACTATATATACTCTCTAATATATTTTTACAGTTTACCAAATTTATGTAAAAATAAATTCAACTTTAAAAAATTCCTTTTTATTAGTATTTTGAATGAAAGTCGAGCCTTGAGCTGTACTTTAAATTTTTCACCAATTTTAACATTATTCAAACTATTTACAGTAAGTAGCTTATTATATATAACATTTAAATAAAACAGCTATCACGACTTCTTACCTAAAATTAATTGAATCATTCTAATGATCATAAACAATCTCTCATCAGATAAACGATTTTAAAATTGTCCATTTTCTTACTCTCAACGAAATGTATAGAATTCATCACGTGAGAAAAGAATTTAAATCACACGTCAAGGATCATGTTAATTGGATTTCATCCTCTGCACTTACATCGTACTGAACTATGACAATGTCATCTTCTTTGAAGTAGTTGCCTATAGAAATAATAAGAAAAGAAAATTGACTGCATTCTTAGAAAACGAACATCATAAAATTACTCATATGACTAACACCATTTAAATGTGTTTTTGTATATGTCTGACATTACTGAGTAAAATTACAGTATGGATATGACACTTTTTTTTTATATTATACAACAATGCTCATAAAATAGAACTGACTAAACAAAACATTGAAGGCCTTTTTTTTTCACATAAAGAAATACTTCTAAATATGAACTATATAAAAAGAACAGCAGTAAAAGTAAACTCATTTTGAAATCTTTAACTTTTTTAATATATTATTTGGTTTGACTAATCACACACCAAGCTGTATGTGCAAATCCTCAACAGTCTTCACACCAATGTGCGGGCAGAGAAATAATATAAATCATTCTACCGAAAGAAATATTAAGTAGTGAATTCAAAATGTCCATAATTTAGAAAGGTTATGGCTAATCTCTGAACTACAAATGTTGTGAATAACATTAAAATTTCTCAAGTTACTTTATGAAGGAAAATAATCACAAATGGGATGAGATATTTACCATTAACCCCAAAAATACTTATAACACTGAAAATCCCAAAGTATGTCATGCACCAAATTGAGTAAATTAATCCTTCCCATTTTTCAAGTTAATGGATGAATTAAAATTAACGGACCATTTGCAAAAAATGCTGTTTGACCTTTAACCCTAGATATTGATGTACAGAAAACACCACAAAATTCCGTGAGCAAATATGCATTACTTTTTTGTATTAACTAAATGGCACTGAATGTCCACATCATGCTATGCACAAACACACTGTGTGTGATTTAATCTTGTGAACTGACATGGTGAGGAAAATCTTTCATGTTAGTTGTATGTCTTTAACTTACCATTTTACTTTCCATATTCCTCAATTTCCTTTCTGTCCTCTGCATTTCTTTCTCTTGTTTATTTAGTTCCTGGGGAGTGAACAACACGATCAACTTATGATTTTTATGTTATTTAATTATTTCATCAGAAAGCAAGAAAGAACAAAAGTAGCACAAAAAAATAAAATTATTAAACTTTTGTTAATCAAATTGTTTCCAAAAATGTTGTTGTAGTAAAAACTGTATACCAGAAACCAGAACTACAGTTCTGTCCTTTTCCACCAATTTGTTTTATCAATATTATCTTCAAACACTGACTACATTGAAGATATATTTGTGTACTACAACTTTAGTCACCTCTTTCTCAGTGTAAAACTTCCAAAATTACTTTTAAGTGAGCTCAGTAAGTTTGGTTGTGTATGTGAAACTACCTCATTAATCATTTTGCAAGACAAAATATTGGTTACATGCAACATGTAACACTTGCTGATGGTGGAACAAACTAACTAAAATTAATATAAAAAGAAAAGCATATCTAAGTTACTCCAAAATACTTCAAAACCAGAAATTACCCTCACAAGACACTGGATTAGTTGTTTATCACGTTTAAGCTAGAGCTATTAGACAATCAGCTAATATAATCAAAATCAGAAAATAAATAGAAAGGAGATATTAAGAAGTAGTTTAAGAGAAGAAACAAACCCCATCAAGAACATAATAGTTCTGTCCCCACCATGATGGATGTTTTTTGGTAGCTCCCGATGCCTAGATCACTCTGAGAGTTTACGAGTGAAAGTAAAGAAGAATATGCAATCATATGTCAAACACACTACACATCCATATCCAGTATCAACAAGTCCTTTCGCCCAATAACAGGGTTCATCATCTTAACCATGAGGAGTAAATATTCTGATACAAAAAAAGCGTGGCCCTATACTACTAACCTTGATATTTGTAATGTGTCATATATATAATATATTACTGAGAAACAAATTTTAATGTCTACTCCTATTTACAGAAGCACTAACTGCTTTTCACCCTTATCATCAAATTTACAAGAGAAATTACATGAATATGAAAGGGAAATAATCTCACAGCAACTCCATCTATCTGATCATATTTCACTTAATAAATAAAAAGTGTGATTGTTTCACAGCTAAATCCAATAACTTTTTAAATACTTCTTTAAAGAATCTATTTTGGTTCTCCTGATTATAAACCAGGTTAACAACCATATCAAGTGTTTTATGTGTTACTTGTGAATAATGATTCTATAACAAAGCAGGCACAATAAACCTATTTCCAAAATTTAAATTTTGTATTTTTTTCACAAATTGAAAACTGTATGAGAGATGCTTTAAAATTAAAACAATTACTATCTTAACTTATCAAGGCACATAATAAACTTACCCACACTCAACAGAAAATTTATTACCTTAGATAAGTTTGAATATTTTAGGTAATTTCTGACATTTCCTTATCACTCATAATCTGAATGTGATATTACTTTTCTTATTAGAAAGATCTTTACCTCTTCTAGAGCAAGTATTTGACCATTCTTGAGTTCTAGTGGTACTCGTTGATCTCTGCCTCCTTTGCTTGCCTAGAAGAGTGAAATAAGAATTTAACATTAAATAAAAGCATTTAATAACTCTGTATATCTAATGAATAAACTTAGATATATATATACATGTTTATTGCAACAAAACATTTTATGGTATACATTCTATGTTAGTTAACCTTTATCATGTGACAACCATCCACCAATAGGAGCATGACACACTCTCCTAGAGCAGCTACCTCCCTCTATGCTATTTGACGTGAACCTCCACAATAAACAGAAGAACACCAAAAGTGTGTGAGAGAAGGTAAGTATCTATCATATCTCTATTTTCAGTGTGAGAAAATGATAATTTCTGATATGATACATACCTCTTCTCATACAATAGATAGAATCCCACATTAAGTAGGTGGAGGGTCTGGTGTAAGATAACAAGAGGCTCCCTGCAGAAAGCATCCATAGAGAATTGAGGAGGTGTGCTCTGTAATTGAATAGAAGCTCACATGTAAGGGACCACACCACTTCTGGAACAGGTATCCTCTTCACCCTCAAAGAAGTGGAGTGCTGTAAAATGGGTGGCAACGAGGCCCAGAGCTAGTAAAAGAAAGACCCCAGAAAACAATGTATCAGGTGTATCGGTAATTCTAAACCCATACGGAAAAAATGGAAACCCAACAGCCAGTTCCTGTAATTATGAAAACAGATGCAATCAACAAGACACTACTGGGTATTTACTCAACGCCAACCCTACAGATGAGGTTCCACATCCTGTACACAGTATTATAAGGTGGAGGATTTCACATAAGATCAAAACCAGTGTACACAATGTATGGTGGTCAGGGTAAGCAGATAATTAGTAATATATATATATATATACCAACCTCTCCGGTAAGTAAACAGAGTGCTATACTGCAAGCAACCGGAATTATGATGAGGAAGTAAGCAAATAGCATCTGCCAGACAAACTTCCAAATCAACCACAGGAGACTGGAAGTACAACAAACTTAACCCAGACTTATGGGGCTGAGTCTAAGCCTCAATCCAACCATAAGAACAGGGAGTCATCCTGTACCTTGTATTATGAGCATGAAAATAACAAATCCAACTCAACCATAATAGTAAGGAAGAAAAAACATTGTGCATCTGGTATTACGAGGAAGATGAGGAATGTCTTCTCAACCACAGGAACAGGGCATCACAACATCCCACAATCAGTGTTACAAGGCAAATGAAGTCCCCTGAGCTCAACCATAGGCACAGGGAAATGAAACATTCTGCAACCGCAATTATCGAGAAGGGTATATGTACAAGACTCAACTGTAAAAACAAGGTGCAATCTAACTGAACCCAGTATGACGAGGAGGATCCAGCATTGGTTCGTCCAGCTCCCATCAACATCAGTACACCCAGAATTAAACCACCAGGGGATAGAAGGTAGGAGGATTCCTAGTTTTTCCCTCATCTCAATGTAGTATACTGACATGTAATGTTAAGATGTGCATTTTACACCCATGATGAAGTTTCAATGGTCCACCACTCCAGAAGCTAGGAACTGGGAAGTAGCAAGGACTCCCAAACTCCACTCAAAAAGAAGGGAGGAGTAAAAGGTGGTCGAGAGTCTGGAGGAATGTCACACTGAAAAAAAGTGCAATGGGTGACTGCAAAACCCAATTTTGAAAAGCTGACTGCTCCTGATTTATTCAATCAAAGGAACAGCAGGGATGGGCAGCAATACCCTTCTGCTTTACTCAGGTCAGTCCATGAGTGATGATCCACCAAGTACGTATCAGAATTCTCTATATATATACCACTACGTAAGCTGCTAGCGATCTTGCAGAACACCCATTTCAACAGTGTGCACTATAACCTGAGGTTTTTCTCTACCCAAAAAATTTTGTAAACAATCTCACAAACTGATGGCAGCACTGAGGCCTTTGCTGTTCCTGGTAGCTTCCTAAAATTGCCAATGGAATACACACCTAGTATCTTCCATTTCTACACCAGCTGAACTGAGAGAAACACATGGTTTCTTGTGGCTTGGGGAGCAAAATACCCCACGGTACTAAACCAAGGTATGTTTCACCAGATTAGCTATCTCACTATTATTTGTTATATATGATGCAATAAGAGTTTTTAGAGCTCATACATGTCAAATAAGAAACAATATTTGCTTCAGCAAAGATTTTTGCAGAGTATTAGGTTTTTATGAAAGCAATTTCACAATTTCTTATTTTCTATTACATTGAAGATGGATGGCAACAGTAAGGCGAGAGAATTAGGCAGATGTTGGCTGACTGTCCCAATAATATTTAACAGTGAGGGTGGATATGATGAACTTGAAGACAGTCAGATCACAGTGTTTAGCTCACAGTAAAGTTTATATCCAATGCTTTCAGTGTCAAATAATGGTATCAGATACAGAAGATTCTGAGTAAGCAGTTAGGTTAGATTAAATGTAAGACATTTTCATTGATGTTGGCCAACAAATGATGTTTTTAGTTCAAAATAATTCATAGGAAAATGTTTAGATAAAAAAAAACTTACTTTTATAATAATGTATTTTTTTTGTAAATAAAGTGATATGAAGCATCAACATCTGATATTTTACATTATTCCTTTATTAATACTACCAAAACATAAAAAAATGAGCAATATTCTATGGAATAATTCATAAGATGTTTACCTTAAGTGCACACATAGATAGATTAACAATCTAATAAAACTTAATGTTTTTTTGGTGTGGTGCAATCTCAGGTTACGAAAGTTGTTCCATACAGCAAGGGTACTAATACAGGGTTAAAGGTATTTGGTGCAGGGTTTTAGGAAAGCATACTTGACCAAGCCAAACTCACCACTGAGTGGGATACAAATAGATATTGAAGAAAAAGGAGGCTCCTGAAATAAAACATAACAGAAAAATACACTTATCCAAGTGAGATTTCAACTGGTGCATGTATAATTGCTACAGGAAGTAGACAATATCTCCAGAGAAGTACACAGCCAGATGGTGTAGGTAATGAGTGACAAATGTACAGGGAGAAGTCCCCATTCCAGCTGCTATAGACACAGTGATATGTTGAATCTGATGAGACAAGGCACAATAAAGATGATGCATTTCAAAGGAGTTAGGATAGGAAGCCAACCTAATAAGCTGATTAACCCTACCTGTAAGAGTGATGGGGGAGAGGCCATGTGACAAAAAAACAACAAATAGGAATGGGAACCATGAAAGCCATATATACTATATAGCACTGCAAAGCCTACACAGGACATAGGAGGATATCCAGATCTGATCTGTAAGAAATATTGGAAATGGAAAGGATGAAGATGGGTGCAAAGGCAGAAATGCCTTCATGGGCAGCTGAGGTCTTGGGAAAGAAGGAACAGTATGGGTATAGCACAATATATATTGTATGATAAAGGGCTAGGAAACATCCATCACACGAAGATCAGACTGATGACAACCGCAAATCAGAAGAAGGAAATACGTCTTGAGGGAAAGATGATACAGGGAACATAAAGCTAAAGGTTCAAAGAGAGGTTGAAGAATGACAAACATGATGATATTAAAAACCCAAACAGGCACCAGAAAGGCACAGCAATGATGAAAAACCTGAAAGGACTGGAACAGGAGGGAAGGAATAAGATCCGGTGAAATCTGTTAAAATGAAACATGTTCTGCAAGGCTGCTCTACAACCAGAAACTGTCAAAACCTAAAGATCCTGATCAAACAACCAGGCGAAGAACTGGGAAAGGTGAGGAATGGAAGGATGTGAGGGGCAGAAACCTGTTCAGAGAGACTAACCACTAAAAGTAGTCCAATGTTGTTGGAAAACTGACAACATGCAAGGTCAGACTGAGAGGGAAAGAGGAGAATCATCACACAGTGTCAGACCCTGGGACATGACAAAAGCCACGCATAATGCCAGAGGGTGGGGACAGCAGTATGGAAGATGTCCAAATGAGGTTGACAAAGGAGAGAAGGAGACAGAGGGAAGGGCAGAGGTGATGACAATACTTGAGGGTTCAGGAGAGAGAATTAAGGCTGAGCCAGCCAAAACACAGCCACCAAGAGACCTTGACACAGAGTGGTGTGGATTAGAGAGAAGGGAGGAGATGTATAGGTGGGAAGGCCTAAATGTGAAGGCCCCATCATTCCTGACTGAAGACATCTACCCCTAAAAGCTTGAAGATGAGGAACCAGAGACCAGAAAAATGGCAGTTTATTGTTCATATATGTGGTGAATGCAAATATGTGCAGGGTACCCAGACAAGAGCATAATCACCAAAAAACTTAAGGATCAAGGGACCACTCCATGAAAATAACCATGTGTGGACTCAATAACTGATCCTCCACAAGATTCCAAGCACAGAGAATATGGTAAACCAAGAGCTGTAATCCAGTGCAAGTGGGCCCAAAATAGAAGCTCCAGACTTTGAAAAAAAAAGGGACCTAGATTTTGTACCCCATTGTGAGGTGATGTATGAGATCACTGTAGAGTTGTCAAAATGCATCACAACTACTGTCCTCCTCAGAAAATGGAGGAAATGAGACATGGCTCAATGAACAGCTAAGAGTTCCAAAATGTTAACATGAAGCCCAGATTTGGACAAAGAATAAATTCTGGAAATTTCCAGGGTATCAAGAAATGCACCCCAAACCACATCAGTAAAAAAGATGCAGGCCCATATGAGAAGGTGGAAAAGGAACACCAGCCATAGTATTGTCTCTGCCTAAGGAGGAAGGAAGGTAAACAGGGTGATCCAAGGGATCCGTGCTGATGGTCTATTAATTGTGGAATTCCCACTGGAGGGAACACATGTGAGTAGAACAGAGGGGTGTGAAAGTTTCCAAGGAAGCCTGCATCCTCAAAACAAGAGAAAAATTCTCGAGCTGGAAGAGAATGAGAGGATAGGGCTTTGATGACCAATTGCTCCATATCCCAAAGATGTAGTGGAGAAGACTGTGCCCAACTGAGGAAGGAAATGTAGATGGACTTCTCCAATCTTATTAGCCAACCCACACAAGCAGCCTCTTCCAGGAGCAACTGGGTGAGGTGAAAAGATGCCAAACTGGAGCCTGGTCCCCATAGGATCTGATCCCACTGTGTAGTCACCATTGTCGACAAAAACGGGTAAAGGATGAAGCATGGAAGCGGGAGGATGGGAAACAGGAAAAGGATAAAGCGCCATGGAGGAGGAGGTTGTGAGAAACGATTAGCAAGGGATGATAGGGAAGTATGCAACCTGAACACATCATCACCGGATGCAAAGAATAAGGATGGTCCCCAAAACTGTGTTATGCAAAGACCGAGCCACCCTTAAGACTCTGAGAGAAGACATAGGAGACAAATCCTCACAAGCAGCATGTCTCTCCTCAACTAGTCCCAATAACAAAGCAGCCAGGTAAATAGAGAAAGGGCTGATGAAGAGAGCCTTGCCAAAGTGGACCACAAAAGGAATCTGTGGTCCTCCGAAAAATTGTCGGGAGAACAACAAAAGGGTCAGAAATTTGAGAGGGTCAAGGCATACAAATCCTTAAACTGAACTGTTATAAAAACCACTGTATATGAACCTCAATATCAGGTGAAGGGGAAAACACCAAATCTTCCGAGTTAGGAATCTCACACAAAAGGGAAGGAGAAACATCATGGAAAACAGGAGAAATAATCAAAATGTGACAAACCTGTTTAATGATTGAGAGGAAAAAGGTAGAAAGTCAAACCTCCTCCAAAAGTGCAGAATGTGGCCATATGACAAAAGAAGGAGGTCAAGGCCCCATGTAAGAATCTAACTGCCGATAAACCAAGGTTTGCACCTCCTCAGCAGATAACGTCAATCCTGGAACCTAGGTAACACGAGTTTATGCGTCCACTGTAGCTTCAGGAGCTGTGTCAGTAATCACAGTAAAACAAAAATTCGTAAGTTGCAATAATTTGTGTAAAAAGGGTATCAAAGTCAGTAATACATCAGAATATAAGAAAGAGCAAAGTAAATTTATGCAAAAAAACAAAACAATAAGAACAAGGTTAAAAATATTGGAGAAAAAAAATTACTGTGTCAATTGAGAAGGTGAAGTTCACGTTATGTATTATAGAGGGAGTCATTCAATTTACAGGGAGTTAAATAAACATTCAATATCTACACTTATAAAAGTAAAAAAATTTATAGTTTGTTTGTCTGCAAACTAATTCATGGTCTTTGGACTAATTTCAACCTGGCCTCACCAACCCTGGGCCATGCACACAGCAAAAATATGATAAGTGTAATTCTTGCTTTATTCATTCAGCATACTTATAAGAATTTACAAGTTTTTTATTCACTTCACAATTTCACACTACTTATTACACTTAATCTTCAATCATAATAAAAGTTGCCAGGTTTGTCAGCAGCTTTACTTAAAACCTCTAGATACTTATCCTGTATCTAAATATTGAAAAAGTTGCTACCACAGTGGCTTCTTGGATATCGGACATGGCAATTCTCAGTAAGGTAATCAAAGAGACCGACATGGTCTTGCCAACATTTACCTGTTGCCACTTGCCAGTAATACTGACTGCAGGTTATCAGAGACTGTCTTCTTGTTCTTACCATACACACACAATAAATGCCATTGAAATATTGTGCTTTATGTAACCTCAAATTACTGTATTCATATAAGCAGTTGTTTTATATCAGGTGAAATTACTCTATAGGGTTAACAACCTAAAAGAACAAACCAAAATTTACTATTATGGAGTGTAAATAGCTGCAAGTATGCACTATGGCTTAAACTAACCTTACAAATATTTAATTAAACACATCAAATCTGACTGTGGAAGTTTGCCTATTCTCTTGATTGTAATGGCTAAACTTTGCAAGTGGATCTATTGTCCTTTGATTTTGACTTTGTTCCCCCCCCCCCCAACCCCTGGAAGATTTTCTGTAGACACCCACAAGTCTTGGACCAAATTTTTATTCCTAAAATGTTTAATTTTGAGTTCCTTCATTAGAAATGTCCAACATTCACATTTTTGTCGGGAAAAATGACAACTAATGCACAAGGGCAGGACTACATCTGAAAACCCCTTGCTTTTCATATGGTCAATTCTATGTTGGGTGTTCAAGAGTAGGATCACCAAGAAATCTCTCCATTTTGGCCCATGAAGGAGGAAGAACTTCTAATGTTGTCTATCAACAAACATTGAGGCTGTAGAGATGGATTATTAATAAAGTCAAGTAAAGCAAAGTAAAATAATTGTAATACAATTTCTGTAATGTGGAATAAAGTAGATATGAAATAAAGTATGCACATACATACAAATATTTGATTGAATTTATTAGTTCAAGTCCTTCATTCCATCTTCATGTCTCCAGATGTAGGACAGGAGCCTTAGGTTATATACCATAATTATCAAAAGGAGTATTTGAGAAATAACTTTATAGTTTAATGGTTACGTTTCTTTCAACTAACACAAATTTTACATCAAATCATAATAGTTTGCTTTGCCTATTAATGAAAATCATCTGAACACAACCAATATATTATTTCTATGTAAAGTTTCATTGCATCATCAATAATTAGCATAAAATACCTACATTCTGCTGTGGCTATCAAATGCTCCCTGATGAATCACAATGGTTTTAATTTAATATACCAATCAAGCTTCTCTATTATCATCAATTACTTCTATAGTTACTCCAAGCGGGGGAGGAGTTCATCCCTCCAATTTATTATTTGCCAAGTTTGGTTATAAGTGCTATCTTGTGAGTTGGGGTATAGACACATTTTCAAAACGAATGTCCCCGAGACCCTGAGGGAAACCAGAAACACAAAATCTGATGCCAGGTTTGATTCTATGACTCTGTAGACCTACTCCTAGTTCTCTTTGATAGGGAGGGCTATGACATATAAATAAGGAGACCCTACCAAGTCCATCTGCCAAGTATGGTCCTGCTAGCTCCAAAATTGTGAGAGGAGTTTGCAAGTAAACAAAAAACACACAACACAAATTAATATAGAATTTAATTCATAAATATTTAATTAGGTATTAAATAAAATGTTTAGTTTGCTTTTATGAAATCACAAAAAAAAATTCTCTATTTCTATTCCTCCTAATTATTTTCAAAAGTTTGATAATAAAAGTAGATCGTACTTTCTGGCCTCTTCCTGAGTGTAGGAGATGTTCTCGTTCTAGGCTTTCTTGAGTTCTCTGAAGCATGTCTCTTAAGCACTGAATGTGTTCATTTTTTTCTTCATTTTCAACCTGAAATTTAAATATGGAGAATTATATATAACAGATATAGTAGGAAGGTTGTAAAATAATGCCTTTCAGAAAGTTAGTAACACGAGTATCTTCAAATCTTCAATAGAATACTCAGTGATTGAATACCACATCTAGGTTAAAAAACATTACAAGTTAATCAGAGCCAAAAACATATGTTGCTAATAAAAGCTATTGATTTTTTTCAATCATTCACCTCTACATGGTTTCTGTATAATGAATTTTTATGTACGTGTATTTTTTCATTATATACATACTTTTTTACACCTCTCTCTCTCTTAAAAACACATCAATTTATACAAAATTAATGCTATGCTATTTCTTCTATGTAATTTCAGTAATTCAAAAAAAGCATACTAAAGAATAATACTGCACAACAATGATAAACAAAATAACTGTATTATTTAATATATTTTTTGTCCACTGTTGTGCCCTGCTTCCACTTTAATCTGTTACCAGTGTACTATATAGTATTACAAACCAATAGGTCTAGAGTTTGAGATAAAAATTACATTAACTGTAGATTTTTTTTCTGACATCCCTTTTAAACAGGTCCATTTAAAATTCAAAATCAAAGGTGGGTGAAAATAGCATTTCAGATCTATCTTTTGTCACTTCCTAAGAGGTCTTTCATTCAACAGCAGTACTTTTCAGTTGGGTCAGATAATTAGAGACAAAAGATAATCTGAAACGAAAGCTGGTGAAGCAATAGAAACCAATAGGCCTAAAATTTGTGATAAATATTACATTAATTACAGATGTTGTTTTTGTCCAAATTCCTATTAATTTCCCAATTTCAGATTTTAAACGGCTCGAGATTTTAATCTAAAATGTGCAAACAATGAGTAATGTTGAAAAAACATGTGCATTTATATAATTTTTTATCACACATTTTAGGTCTATTGGTTTCTAATGTTTTGCCTGTTTTTAGTACTTAAGCCATAACTTTTAAAGTAATATAGTGCATATATAAATTGCATTTCAGAGAATATCTTGTCTCTTTTTGTTCAGCCCAGCTGATAAGTTCTAATATTGATCAAAAGGCTTCTTAGCAAGTGACTTGCAGAAGACAAAAACAGATCTGAAAAGCTATTTTTATATAAATCTGATCTTGAGTCAAAAATGGACAAACAAATAATGTAGGAATAACAAAGATCTGAAGTTTACACAAATTTTATCATATATGTTAAACCTATTGACTTTTAATGCTTTGTCAGGTTTTGACATTTTAAACTGTAACCTAAATAATGTTACTCATTACAAAATATTTTGTCCAAAATGTATAGATCTTTCAGTTAATCAAAGTAATATATCATAAGAAATAGTAAATACTAAGCTTAATTTGCTACATGGTCTTTTCCTACACTCTACTACATTGAATTAATTTTAAAAATTAATATATACTTTAGTTAAATTTTTTTGCTGCCTTGATCATTGATCTGCATTAATAGATTTTCTACCTTACACTACTTATAATAAGTATATGTTTTAACCAATTCTTTCTTGTAAAGAAAACTTAGCACGTTATTTGGCATTAATGAACTGCCATTGTAACAGTACATCAACTGACTTGTAAATTCGGTGTAAATTTAGCAATGTAGAAGGGCTACTTGTGATACAATAGATTTTATTTACTTATAATGTATCTTAGTTCATGATTTTATTCAATTTGAAGTAATGCTTTACTCTGCTTCAATCATTTATTTTGTTATATTTCAACATATAATGCAACTTCACTACTACAATTCAATTACAGGTAACCAGCAAGTATTAAGCATATTTTGCAAAAGGAATAGCATAAAAAAGTATTCAAATAATTGGAGAAAATAAAGCCAAAACTTAAATTCTAAAAGTAGTGGTTGCAACTCATCACTGACATTTGAAAACAGTCTCCTAATATATGAAGTTTTACTAATTTACACAAAACAATCAAGTGTCAAGTTTACATACCATTAACCTTTTAATTTCTTTCTTGGCCATATCTAATGCTTCATCAAGATTACTAAAAATAAAAAATCAGAATTGTCATATCTGCTTACTAGACTATTATATGGAAGTTAAGCTTATATTAACTGTACTGTCTTTATAAGAAAAGTCACAAACAACAATATTGTTTCAATTCACAGGTGCTAGGTTGAAAGGCATAATATACACTTATTTTTACTTCAATGATTTTGAATTGTATTAATATTATGTCAGTTTATTCTTCAACTAACTATTAAACAACTTACACTTGTTTATTCCACTTTCCTTAGTTTTCAAATCAGAAAAAACAGTATTTTTCAATTCACATTATATATTCTGTATACCAATTTAAACTAAATAATGCAGGTAAACTAGAAGCATATATAAAATCAACAGATAGACAATACCACAAACAGTATTAGCTGCTTCACATTCACATTAGATTTACAGATTCTTGTTTGTATTTCTAAGCACCAGCTTTCACAAAATTGGGCTTAGAAAATAACACTTAGCTTGACAAGTGTTATTTTTTATGAACCTAAGATCCATGTCTTACAAGAACACACAGAGTGCATGGCCAAAAGTAATGCTTGGGGATGAAAGAAATATAATAATGAATAATGTAACATTTTTACTTATCTAGATGTTTTAAATTGTTATTTAAACCACATATAACAAAGCATGGTTTCTACTGAATTGCACAATGATACATTAAAAACTTATTTTACAGCATGGTCATTTCATGTTGCTCTTGTAATTGAAAAAATAAAATCTTATGTTTACTCAATTTTATGCTTGTATACAATCAAGATCTGTTCTTTTAGGTTTGTCAATTCATTTCCAAGGTGTTCAAGGTCCTTCTGTCTTGACTGGAGGACTTCTTGCCACTCTAATAGTGAAACATCTTTCAAAGACTTGTGTATATCAGGCAGATTCAGTTCCAGGAAGTTCACTATATTACGCATCAAGTATGTGTGCTAAAGATGAAAAATATAAAAACTCTGTCAAGTCAATTATAATTGAAGACCAAGTACCTTGTAGATTTCAAAATACTTTTAAAATATAGATCAGCAAACATGTGTTGTAATTTTTTAAACAATTGTTACAGAGAGAAATTTACATTATATTCAAAACGTGGCCCTTGCCAATATATGGATGATAACATACTGGTATGAAAAATAATTGTTATCAGTTACTGTCAGGGCTGAGGAGAGGGGGGGGGGGGCAGCTGCCCCAGGACCAGGGGTCTGTTGAGGGGCCCGGCTGTGGGATATTCCAAAGCTCACTGGAAATGCATACTACTTAATGAGCTAAAATGGCTACTGCTTTTTTTATGGATCCATGAAGAAATTTGTCACCTAAATTTCTTTTAGGAAAAATCAGCAAAAGTTGATAAATAGAATGAAAAAGTGGCCCGATGATATTACTGACCCCGAGGCCTGGGCTGGCTCTCAACTCCCCTGGTTACTGTATTCCTAGATAAGTATAATGTAAGAGGGTAGGATAATATGCTTATGCATATAAAAACAAACTTGCATATTTTAAACAAAAAGTTATTTTCACAAGGCAGGTTTAGAGACATTTTTAGAATTAAAATGAATTTCAAACGGGCATCACAGTACTTTTTTTTTTTTACTGATTTTACAGAGTTGACGACCGACAGTTCTAATCTATGATTAGCACAGTGCTACACAATTACAGAGGGATATTTGTCTTTCATCAGTTTCTTAACTTCACTTTTACTCCCAAATATCATGGCTGCACCATCACATGCCACACAAAGTAAATAACTTTTCATTCCGTAAGACTGAAGACAATTGAGTAAAGAATCAAAAATTTCTTTTGCAGTAACATTTTCAAGTTCAATAAGTCTAAAAATAAATTTACCGGCAAGTTCATTCCATTACCTGAGATACAGATTTGAATGTGCACTATTAAGGTAGATTTTTACTCAAAGTTGACTCGTCGATTATCAATGAAATTCTACTTTTCGATTTAGTAATTATATTAATTAGTATTTTTTTCATTTCATCACTAATTTGATTCACAATGTTAATACATGATTATCAATGAAATTCTACTTTTCGATTTAGTAA